ACAGATGAGCGCTCTGGGGACGATGCATGACGCTCTGGGGACGATGCATGACGTTTGATCGCGCCGGGGACGATGTACGTCAGACCGCGCCTGACTGACGCCCCCGGCCATCGGTTACACTTCTGCGATGGGGAGGGGGAGGGGGAGGGGAGGGGGAGGGGAAGGGTGGCAGTGGCACAAGTGCACCGAATCTAGGTATGCGTGCATGAAATTTGGACATCACATTCCGTGAGGGAATGCTTGAAGAAAGCATGCACTCTGGTGACACTTCAAATCGCAAATCCACAAGCGTTCCTTTCCGAAGACTAGGATCCGTGGTGTGGCTGGAGGGTGGCAAGGTCGCATTCCCCGACCTACTCAATCGTGAGAACTACACTGCAAAAATTGGCTTTGTATGTGTCGTTGAACGTGTAAGTTGAAATGCTTCTTCCAATTCGTCCCTGTGATATTCATAATTGGGCTGAAGTGCTCAGAATTCCGTCAGTTTCTAAGGACACCGCCTTATCCGACATAACAGCAGCTGTCATCATTCATGCAACTCCATAGTTTGCATTGTGGTCTATATGTACAGGTCTTGTTTGGCTGTTCATGTTCACATGGTTTCATGTTTTTTCCATGTATGTCTTTACACTCAAGAAATTTTTCTTATATTGTGTTCAAAGCGTATCTATGTCATGCTACCTTCAAAGCCAATGTGTTGTAAACGTGAAATGTGTCATTTGATTGAGATGACAACATGCTTTAGGTTTGAACACCTATGAACCCAAATAAAGGGATAAACAGTAAACTGTCACCTTTCTAAAAATGTGATGTTCATACCATCAGTGAAACCAACAGTCGTAACACGAGCTTTTTTATTTAACACGTAACGCTAGTGAATCAAGTTCTGCATACGCTTTTTCATATTTACCACTCGCCTTGACATCCAAGTGTGGGTTTCGGACAGCGTTATGCAAGCCAACGACGGAACGAGCCATGGGTTCGCCAATACCTGAGAAGACAAATGGATTGCGTTGACTGGAGTTTAGGAGTGATGAGGTTGTCACCGGTGCACACTGGGACAGTCCCTGTTGAAAACGCGGAAGCAGGTTAACACCTACGATCTGATTGCGAGCCAGTCCGATACAGCAGCCACGGCATGAGGACGGAGTACCATAAGTGGCACGTTTTGCTTGAAGGTGGGTAATTTACATCTTGTGACTCGGTAGTCATATGTCTACCCACAGAATTGACTCAAACACTTCATCTGTCAATCCGAGCAATATGTTTACAAATAATGAGGTCCTTTATCTGATGTCTGCGAAATAAAAATACTTTCTGTAATTTAGCATAATAGCGATATATGCAATAAAACACATATGTCAGACACTTTGTTATGAGTGAACCACAAAGCTGAGAGTATCCTGGAGGGAGGGACGCTGCCTCCTATGGGGCACATTGCTAAAACCATGATGAATTCGATGATTCAGTGCCTCATGACTTTTTATAATCACGATTTAAAGCTCCACAAAGAATTGCTTACCACAAAACACCCATATATTCTAGCTGAAAGAATCGGAAATGCTCAACGCTATGGCATGTAAGACCTTCGTGATCGCAAAAGGCGCATTGAAGGCATTTTCAAGTACAGCGTAATTGTTATGTGTGTTACACTTACCAAGCCCAGACGGTTGCAGCGTCGAGCAATGGGGTTGTCAAGTAAAGACCGGTGCTTTGAAAAATACGATGAGGCTGTGGAGGGAAGTTTCAGCCCGAAAGCCAAGCGCAGGGCCCAGAAAATGTTTTTGGGGCACAGGAAGCGCGCTACACGAGAGCTTAAGTCGTTTTTGCGTAGCGAACGCGTGACCTAAATGTTTGCTAATTTTGCAGATGCGGATTCTGTGGAAATATTCATCCAGAGCACTTGCCTTAGACCCCAAATTGTTGCTCTGCGTATTTCGCCTATTCTTCAATTTGCGAACTTCCATACGTACTCAGGCTACACCTAACACTTATGTTCTGTGCTTCATTATCCAACGACAGGCTGGCAGGTATCCCAATGTATTCTAAAAGTATGTGTATTAATTGTACCTTCCTTCCTTACCCTGCAGAAAAGGATCTCACCCCTATTGCGTCACTGCAATAAATCACTGCCCGACACTAACTGCCACAACAAAACCAATGAAGACAGCAAGGAAATTCGCTGCCAAACAATATTACAGAAAGTGTTGATCAGAAGCAATTAATGAAGGTATCATATGAATAAAGATCGGTCGTCCATTTGCCTCACTTTAATTCCCAAGCGCTGCATAAACTATTGTTGTTGTACACTGTTGCGTAAAGTACCATGGACTACTGTCTGCGTGCGTTGTATATGACAGCACGATGGCGCGGCAGAGGGCGCAATGAACGGACCTACCAGCAAGTGACGTAGCTTCACTGTGCAGTCTCCAGTATAACTGGTTTGAAGGATTTTTGTTGTTGGAATATCTGATGAAGGCACGGGGGTTGATGTGCGCCGCCGGAAAGCAATCTCACCGTTCGCGGAAGTGGTAACAATTTTTTTAGATTTTATTG